ATAGATGATGATCGATGGTGTATCATCGAAATAGCATTTGAGTAACGTTACCGTAAACGCATACTGCACAATGCACCGACGGCTTACCTATAGGAGCAAAATTGAATTTTTCTTGCTATTCCATTCCAAGGTTATTTCAGAAAAGTGTAACAAACGAAGCAAAGTCGCGAGCCGTTTGAAACGCTGAGTGCCATTGTATCTTTCGAGTACACGCGAAGAGAGTGGGAGAGAGAGAGAGAGAGAGAGAGAGAGAGCCGGTAACACACGTTCGGTGCTCGGAATTCTTTCTTTTTTCTTGGCGAATTTAATGGTGCCGATGTCGAAACGATAATCGTTTCGACGAATGCTCTGTTGCTTTTATCGCGGTACAGTGATTTCAGGATCACTGGATTTATAATCCAAGCCTATGCCTATTTACGTGCTCTCTTTACGTGCGCGCAGTCGAGAGAGGGAGAGAGAGAAATAGTCGTTTCTTCGTTCATCATTATAAGGAAATTTCTTACTTTATTAAGAATCGTTGTCAACTTTCATAAATGCATCAAGCGAATGAATCGAAACGACGTTTTTAAGATAAACGTTTCGTTGTTTACCTATAGAAGAAGAAGAAGAAGAAGAAAGTTGGAGAAACGTCATATTTTCTTTATACGATCGAGATACGATCTATCGTTTATCAGTTTTATTTTATTCATATAATCTTTATAATTGAATTATTGCATAAACGTGCTCTTTAAAGGATTTTTTTTTTCCCCAATCGTAAATTTCTTTCTTTTTACAAGCAACGCGTGCGAGAACAACACCAAGGAAGAATAAAAGAGAGACAAAACGAATCATCCGATAATCGTATTGGCTTTCGTTGAAATTCTAATCGAAGGTTGCACTGGAACGGAGGTTCTTCGTAAACACGATTTAAATCGTGGCTTTGTATGCAGAATTTTGACCGATCTTAATCGATTTTCTCTTCCTTTCGTTCTTTCGTTTTACCGGTTCCTCGTTTTTTCGTTTTTCATTCGACAAGGAAAAACGAGAGTTTGCAGAGAGTCTCGGAGTATTTGAATAGCAACTGGAGGATAAATTGAAAGAGCGTATATTCTTCCGACGTAAATGGTCTGAAGTTAGCTTCGATAGAAATAAGAAACCCCGTTTGGATCGTACACACCGTATCATCGTATTTAGGCTTGGGCGCGAAATAAATGTTCGCGGTGCGTGTTTACGCGTACCATACGATGATGAACGGTACGCACGTGCAGCTTGTATCATGAACACAGCAATGTATCATGAACGGCCTTTAGCGAGGACATTTCCCAAAGTCACTTCGCTGGCCCATTTCACCCGTGCATTCGCATTCGTGCGAATTAATTTCGGTCAAGCACGGCTCGATCGAGCAGTAAAGTATCTTCTCCGTTTAATCTCCATATTTACTAGGTGCTAAAAAACAATTTCGTCGACAAATCTTCGTCGCGTTCAAGCTTTGGAAATGAAAAGAAGAAGAAAGCAGGAAAAGCTTCTTATCGCTTATTTTCTTTCTTTTTTTTTTCCCATTATTATTCAATTCAAGGCCGACCTTAATTTTTCATCTTCCTATCTAAACGAGTACTTTCTTCTACGAATGTGAATTACGAGTATCCGAGAAATTTTATCGTTCCTTCTTACCAGCTCGCCTACGGACTTGATTAAGAGTTCCTCTTCCGTACATTGTTTCAAGTTTATTACGTTTAAAGGGAAACGACGTTTGAGTTTAGCGAAGTAGAACTTTCGATCTTACGTAGATAACGCGAGTTATCCCGAGTAACTCTATTAAGAAACGTTCCCTTTTTCTTTATTTCCATTATATTTAATATTAAGATTACTCTCGATTCTAATTCTAATCTCGTATCGTTGAAAAGGTAAAAGTATCGTGTCAAAAAATTTCATTAGAATATTCGAATCCATTAGAGAGGAGTCATATAGTAGCGAGATGAGAGTTAAAAGGGGAGATTCGCGAACGGTAGAATCACCATCATTTTCAGAACGATCGTGCGATATATTTCAACCGCCGGCGCCTAGTAAAAATTTCATTTTCCTCTTCGGCGCAACAGGGGATAACTGTGTCGCGTTACCTAAATCGTCCTACTTTCTCTCGCATTACACTTATCTCGCTTTAACTTGCTGCTTCGTTTTCTCATGAGGACGAGATGTTTATTTTCCTTTCCTGCAAGATCGGACGGACCATCGAAAACCGACCATAGCCGAAATCGTTAAACTCTCAACGAGAGTAGAGACCGAGGCCGTCGGCGGTCGTTACCAGCGCGGACAATGTGAACAAATTTTTTTATCTTTTTATTCATATTATATTGCCAGTTAGTACTGTATTTTAACGATTCGTTCTTTTTCTCGTTAGAAGATTCATTAAAAGATTCATCGTAAAACGATCGAGCCGGCCGTAAAGGATCACAACCGGCAATCTTTTTTTCGAAATTTTTCATGGACCTTGGTGGACCGGTAAGAATCACCCCATTCTACTTTTATTCATGTTTTCTATTGAAATTTCAATAAATGGATTTCTACGTGTGATATCTATCGTATGCATTTACGCATACGTATTTAGACACGTACTTGTAACAAGTACCGCTTTATTTTTCATACGAATGACGTCGATTGCGAAATGAGATAAAAAAAAAAATCATTCAATTATTCGTGCTCTTATTTTTACATTATTTTATTCACTTTTATAACTTGGATCGAACGCCGTAGCGACCTATCGATATGAAATCGATAAAAAATATGTTGAAAATGTAATATTTTGAAAGGCGTAGGATGAGTCCCGCCGTTAAAAGGATCCTTCTTATCCCACTCAGAGAGATTAATAAACGTGGCGCTACCTAACGGTTGGTTATAAACTATATCGCGATATAATTAGGGAACTACTTTCTTTATTAGTTTCATAAATTATTACGAGACGTTAGTTAAGAGACATCAATGAAATGAGCATAATTAAAAGTTAAAAGCAGCGCGACGGGGAAAAAGAGGGACCGTAAACTTTCTTATTTATTCGGCTCGAGTGATCCTCTCATCTACCGTTTTATATATGTGTGTGTGTGTGTGTGTGTGTGTGTGTATATATATATATATATTCATTTATTTTATGCAACGATAAACTGTCCCGAGCACGAATTCTCTCTTAGACGTTTTTCTTAGTAATCCCAATGTATGCTGGAAAGACTCGTCGATAGATTTCGATAGATCTTTTGGATTTTATAGCTGCAAGCGTGAATTTATCATTATATCTTCGTCAGTGATAAAACATAACAGACGAACGTTTACCCCTTAGAAAATTTTAGTAAAAAGTTTGTTTCGATCGAATGGTGACCTTTTTAAATAAAATATGAAAAATGAATAAAAGGGTTTCGTAGCTGAGCAATAACGGAAATCGTTGAGTAAGCAATTTTCAATTGATCATACAGTTCACCCTGTATATCGAAGAAACTCTGGAGAAATCTATCGGTCGTCATCGAAAGTACTCTTCTTTGTCCGCCGATCTCCATTTCCTCGCATTGTTCCAATTGCCGTCCCTTTTCAACGACAGAGTCGAGAACTGAAACGAAGGAAGTAGGTATCGTGTCGGAGATATTACTACAGGATGCAGAGAGAGAGAGAGAGAGAGAGAGAGAGAGAGAGAAAGAGAGCGTAAGCTCGGCGGCGATTACCTGTTACAACAAAGACGAGAAAGGAAACGAAGGACGGACGTCGTATGTCTCATTATTTTCATATAAAAGAAATGACAGTAGCTGGATGTCTTGTCAAAACGCAACTCTGTGAATCGTAAGAAAAGAGAAAAAGAGTTGGGAAACGAGAATATCTTTGGTTAATAAATAATCGAAACTAGTAACAAATATGACGCGATGAAGCTTAGCTCGTCATATTCTCCATTTTCTTACTGGATACCATTTTGAAAAAGAAACGATCGATGAAAATTCACACACGCGCGAACTTAAAAAGGAATTGAAAATTTTTATTCTTATAAAGCGTTATAGCGATGGTGATTGCATAATACACTCTAGACGGTTGTACTTAAATACAAATCGGTAGATATCTTGGAGCTTTCACGTACGAAATAAAAAGTAATGTTCTCGTCTGATTTTCCCACGATTTCGAAATACATTTAACAGCGTACTGTCATTACGCTCGCTCGGTCTTTCCAGTAATCTGTGTCATTTTCGTATTCCGGTCACAGATGCAAACCGTATCGACAAGTTGTTCGGCCTTTCTCCGTATAAGCGCATTCTTCTTGAAGTAGGTTAAGACTAGAATTAAATTTTTCCGCGGTCGAGACTTTACGAAAAAGATATCGATCGTTCTTTTCTTTTAAATGGTAACCAATCGTCGGATTGGTAATATAATTTTAATATCTAATCAGGCGTATTTAATAGCTACGATAATCGTATCTGATTCGATGTGCCCTTTTTGCTTTTTGATATTTCGAAAAATTCTCCATTCGAAGATCGTAACGTTTGCAAAGGGAGCCTAATTAGAGTCAATTAGAGAGATTCCTAATTGGGAACAATGACGTATGTATACGTGCGCGTATAATTGCGACGATTCGTCTCTCTCTCTCTCTCTCTCTCTCTCTCTCTCTCTCTCTCTCTCCCTCTCTCTCTGATGCATGCCAGCTCATTCCTTTCTAATTAAAAGGTGTTCCTAAACTCTGACGTAGAGTCATTTTTCTAGTCACATGGCACATAGTATTGGCCATCGTAATGACGTGTTTCGTTTAAAAGGCGAAAGGGACGATGAATTAAAATATCCGAGCAGATTCGTCGCACCAGAAGAGCTTATAGACCGATACACATTTTATGACTTTACTCATTCGTTCTTGTAAGAGAGAACGCGGATGCAATGAATGTTCAATTATAACACAGCGAATTATTATCGACGAAACGACGATAGATTGTGATAATATCGACTGGCATGGTCCAAAGGAAGAAAAAAATAATTAATAAATAATTAATTGTATTTTCTTCTAGATTTTATAACCGGTCGCCCTGCGCCGATAGGAATTGATGGCCGGGTTGCGTTCGTTGCGTCGAGTATCGACGCTAGACCGTTGGCATCCACGCGTCGATGATCTACATGCGATCGACGCGTACGATCGATCCTTCCTGGACGAGATTTTCCAACAAATTCGAATCTCATCGAGACGTTACCAAAGCCGTAACATCGGATCTGCCGTAAGTATCGGATAATTTTCTCTTCTAATGAAGGAAAAAGAAATGTCTAAAGAAGGTAACTACTTTGAGATTAAATCGTAGGTTTTAATATTACCGAAGGTTTTAATAAAAGACCCGGCTAACGTGCTATTATCTAATATCAAATTACAGTACGAAGGCCCGATCGAGATCGTTAGAGGATTAGTACCAAGAGAAAGAGGCGCGTGACTTTAAGTTTCTTTATTTTTTCTCTTTCGCTTTATTCGCTCCGAGCACGATTAATCGAAATCGTCACGAAATTGAGACTCAGAAATCGAAATTCTTTCCTTTTCTAACGACAATGGATAGAATGGTCCTTTATAATTGCCGATTGTCCGAAACTAGTTCGGATAATAAGAAAATTCAAGAAAAAGTTTCTCCTAGAGTTGTGGTAGAAGATTAAAAATGTACAGAGATAAGGGGAAAAAAGAATTGATCGAGAATGTCGTTGAAGCACCTTCTCGATTAATTGGATTTGCTTTGGGAGGAGGAGCGGCTGAATCTAGATCGATCTAAGTTTGACGATAGGAAATATTAAAGGGATTGCGTCTGGGCTATCCTCCATTAAGCGATTTCATCCTCGATTGGCGGGTCTCTGTGGTATACGCATTAATGCATGGATATCTCTGTACGATATGCACGTGTACTTACATATACCATTTATATGCGTATATATTTACGTGTACGTTTGCAAATATCGTTTTACTATCGAGTTTACGTTTACGCATTTATCTATATACTTAGATCACTCGGCGATCAATCGCAAAGCGTAACTCAAACTCGGTTGTGATTTAAATCGGCTTTAACTTCGGTCCGCCAACTAAATCTTGAGGCAACTTCTACCCAATGTACGTAACGTTAAATTCGTATCTCGCAAACGTTCATAAACAAGAAAACGACATCGATGAAGAGCTCGGGATTTAGTTTCTCGTTAAAATATCACCAAAAGTCCGAGATATATTTGAGTCAAGTTACGAACGATTCGATATTTCGATCTCCCTCCTTCTCCCATCATTAATCCTCTTATCAAAACTAGATTGAAGAATATTCAAAGTTTTTTTTGACGATAGAGATATCGATTCAGGATACGTATATCTAGAACCTCCTCGATACGTTATCATATTTGCTTTCCATATCCGTCCAAAGTAATTTTCAATTCATTCAATATTCATTCATTTATTTATTTTAAAGCTGTACACCTGAATCGTTGAATAGCAATTATTTTTTACTCGTCAATGACTTTTGACCGATCGCCTGCGTATAAACTTTTTTTCAACCAAATTCGAAAGACGTATTTTCCATAGCTTTCCTCTAAGAACATAAATACTCAAGAAGTCCAATGAAAATAATGTAGATTTAATTTTCTTATCCTTCGTTATCAAAGGTGCTTAAAGTTTTTCAATCTTGGGGTAAATGCAACCCTCGGATATTTCTTAATGAGTCGCAGAGGAAAGTTAGCCGACGAGCAAAGTTTCATTTCATTTGGCCCGCAGTGTTGAACACGGCACGATGCTCCGAGCGAGGAACATTCATTCATTAAGGTCAAATCGAAGGACGATATCAGGAACTTACTTACTTTCTCCGAGATCATTCGGTTTTTAGATTATATTTTCGTGCACTTTTGTACTTGTATTTCTCTTCCTTTCTCTTGAAATGAGGCGATATGTCCTTGGAATGTATTGCGAATTTTTCCTAGTTTTGGTCGACTTTTCTCGACTTATATCGATAATGTGTTAAAAAGTGCATGAACGGATAAACGTAGTAAGAAACGATGAAAACGTAGTAAAGGGCATACCCTGCTACATCACGGTAACTCATGCGAAATGGAGAGAGAGAGAGAGAGAGAGAGAGAGAGAGAGAGAGTGGAAGAAAGGTCCCAATTTATTTTAATTCATACTTTACTCTTCGGTCAATTTTCAATTTTTTCTTGCGAGATCGACATCGACCGATATTTAAAATTTCTCCAAGCGAGACACGATATCGTGTGAAGCTCTCATCCGCGTGTTAGGCAGATGCTTGTGTATTCGCGCATACGCGCGTATTAAAGCAACGTATCGATCAGATTCTACTCTTGCTTCTACCGTTGCTACTATTGCTGTTATTGATGTTGCCGATGATGTTATTGCCACTGCTGTCCGCGATGCATAAGGTGTAAAACGAAACACATATATGTCATGAATAACGAGAGGATGTACGCTTCGGATATCTTAGTAAAAGTTTCATGACCGATGATTATTCATACGTTTGCTCAAATGGTATCGTCCCTTTCCTTTCGCATCACCGATTCGATCATCATTCTAGTATAATATATCGTAGCTAACACAGCGGATAATAATATCAGCAAAATAATAATATCACTCTAAATGATCCTCGTAATCACGTTTATTTTCTAATATAATCTTTTCTTTCTTGGATATTCAAAGAAAGAGATAGAGAGATAGATGTAAACATTGAAGAAAGATATATATGTATATAGACGTATTATGCATTTATTTTGTCGTGAAAACGCCGTGTAATTGGTATGATTGAAGCTCCATACTTTTCCTTTTTTATTTTCAACGAAATTATAGCTAAACTCCATTAGAATTCTGTATTATGATAAATCTCAATGAAGCGTTTGTACGTAATGCTGTCGTTTTTATCTAATTGGCGTTACGGATACGAATATATTGTCTTCCGATCGCTTACCGCAAGCTCGATTATCGCAAAGATAGTAAAAATAAAGAGTGGGAGGCAGGGAGAATGAGAAAAAGGATAGTGGATCGCAAATAATCGATAGTATACCACATAGATATAGATATATACACGGTGCAAAGTTGCTCGCATAAATCGACCGAGAATCGACTCGGCTCGGTGGGACTTTTAACGATGAAAGTGGAAATTGGATGAACGCAAAAGGGAATGGCAAAGCAACTGGTGTAGGATGTATGTACGTATGCTAGCGAACGAAATTATCGTACGACGGAATTTTCATGAGCGAAATTTTATTCGAGCCCTCTCTCTCTCTCTCTCCTTTTCTTAACAACGTTAAAATTCTCCAGATAAAAGAAGAAGAAGAAGAAGAAGAAGAAGAAGAAGAAGAACGGAATAAGAAGAAGAAGCAAAGGGCTTTATTTGAACTTTATAGTCTTTCGTTCTCAGGGTTCTCGTTTTAATAGTCCTCGCGGTCTTTTCTATGACTTTGAGTTTTTTCGAAAAGAAAAGAAAAAATAAAGAAAACCAGAGTTTCTCGGAAGGAATGAATAATAATTGGAGCTCTCATAAAAAGTTTCCGAAGGATTACGTTCGCGAAAAACGAAAACGCGACTTTTAGAAAAAATAGATAGGTTCATTGTGAATAATAATTTATTATTATCATTAGTTTGTTCAATTAATCTTTATAATTTTATAACTTTTCATAATTTTTCGATCGAGATCGTCTCACAACAGATCGATGGTCTTTAATTAAGAATGGAGATAAATCGTAGGCGAGTACAATCACGTCGATGGATTTCTCAAAAAGAGCTCGTCAATGGAAAATCACGCTCGTTCGAGGATAATGCTCGCAGGAAATGATTTTACGAGAGCGAGCGAGCGAGCGAGAGAGAGAGAGAGAGAGAGAGAGAGGCTGCGTTTAATTTTTCCCAGAGAAACACTAAAACTCTTTCGGATCTATTTGTAAGCGTATCTAGTGGAAAATGGAGGAAGGAAGGAAGGAAGGAAAAGGATTTAGCGCGTCGATCGTCGCTACACGTTGCTCGGACCCTGACGAGGCTCGATCGGTCGGTCGATCGTCATCGAGAAAATGAGAGAAAAGTGATTGGGAAGCGGAGAGAGATTCTTTATGGTTGGAAAAGGGAGGGTGTTCTCTAATTGGTCCGACAGCCATTGCTGCCATCCGCCGAGCGACGTTTATCCGTAATTAGTTCTTTCCCTTTTGACGAGAAACGAGGGGGATGCATATAGCCCGTTGGCCACACTCTAGACCGCGTATTTACACCTTCTAAATCGATTTCAATCTATATTTCGACAGACATTTCGATTGACATTTCGATGGATAGATCGACGTCTTATAGAGAAAATTCGGAGGTATTATACATTAAAGTAGCACTCCGAAGTATGAGAATGCATCTTAATCTAATATATACCTTAATGTTAGGAGAGTTTGATAGAAATTAGTGTTGTTCGTGGCATAGAGTAAATTAGATTGCACGCTAAAGATAGGATTTAAGATGATTCGTGTTAATACCACGTGTCGGTATTTGTCTAATAAATCTTTCACAGCAAATTCGTGAAAAGTTAAGAGGAGAGAACGTTACCTTCGAAGCGTAAGAAGCAAAGTCATGTTTTACATGCTCGAGGACAGTTTAACGCTCTACGTACGTTTTCGTTCTTGGAGAACTTGCTTACTTACTTACTTACTTAGGTACGTACCTATCTCTACCTATCTACAGACGTCGGCTGGAGCGAACTTGGAGAAAGATTACGAAAACGAGTCGTAGAAAAGTCGTAGAAAAGTCATACGATCGAGAACGTCTTCGTAGTCGAGTATAAAAGAATTGGTACTAGTTAGTTAGCGAATGAGGATAGCTTAAGTGGATGAGAATTCTTTCTAAATAAATAATCTCAATCCTTTCGTTCTCTCTCTCTCTCTCTCTCTCTCTCTCTCTCTCTCTCTCTCTTTTTTTCTTTTCGAAACTTTAAATGAGATATACGTCGTTTAATATCACGTAGTATTACATATTAATTGGAAAAGTTGGCGTATATGTTATAGCGAATGAAGAGTTCCTTCGTAAAATCTTTTAACTAAAGTTTTCTGTGATACGATGCCATTTGTTTTCTCTCTCTTTCTCTCTTACGCACGCACGCACTCACGTACGCACGCACGCTCGCTCAGTCTCTCTCTCTCTCTCTCTCTCTCTCTCTCGAGTTGAAAGTTTTTAACGACAAGCACGATTGTACATTTCAGCCGAATCCCTCGAGCCACGCGGAAACTCATGGATGGTACTACGGATGGTGCGCGTCGAATTTTAACGAGCGTATCGTATCGAATCGAGCCAGAAAGCTCTTGTGTGGCGTGCGCGTCTAGAACAAATTCTACGACCTTCGATCTTTAACGAACGAGCATTGAAAAGTGCGCTTTCGTGCCTTCGAAAGTGCACAATGCGATCGTTTGGATAAATAAAACGACAGAAGGAGAGAGACAAAAAATCGTGAAATTTCGTCAGACGTCGAGACAGCTTTCGCCAGTCACACGCGCGAATTCTTTTAAAGATATGATAGTTTAGTTTTTTATTCGATTCGAATCTTCAGTCAACTCGGGACTTATTTCTTTTCAACGTTGTTAACAGTTCGTACGTAAGAAGAACGATCGAATGACTTTTCGATCTTTTCGAACGTACATACATTTTGCTCGATGCGCGTAGCTCATTTAGAAATCACGAATCAAAACTCTCGTGACGAGTGTTAATTCGAGCGGATTTTATAGGAATTGAAACGCGTTTTCAAGCCGTGCGCAAGCTTTCAAAGCGGTTTACCTTCCGCCTTCTGAATTATTGATTTTCGGCTTTGACCTCGTGTAGTTATCAAGACCTTGAATTATTTCTCTTTCAGACTAATCGTGGGAACACGAGAGTGGCCTTCCAATGTATTTTCACATTTTTCGATTCTCTGGTGTATCGGTGGACTTTCGTTCGACTTGCAAATTCATCGTTTCAACCGTCCCAATACATAGGACTCTCAAAGGATTTGAGAAAGAAACATTGTTAGCTCGTTCAAAGGCACACCTTATCAATACGAAAATATGATATAAAAGTCGTAAATACTTACTTTTGTAACAATATAAATTGATTCGGTTGCAACAATGCAATGGAAACGTAGGAAATTAATATTGGATTCGTTGAGATTCGTTCTATACTATTCTGGTATTCCGTATCGTTTGCCTTCTCTCGATCGACCGCCGAAGGAAGAATTTTTTTCGTGTTCACTCTTGACGATCAAACGGCTAAACAACGCGACAATCTAGAGTCGGATGAGAAGCTTCTCGGAATCTCGTTCGTTCTCTTGACTCGCTTTGACAGGCTAGCTCCCCCCCCCTCTCTCTCTCTCTCTCTCTCTCTCTCTCTCTCTCTCTCTCTTTCTCTGAACTGAAGGAAATTACCGGTGACGACTCGAAAAAGATCTACTCGGGGGAGTTGATATTTTCATCGATTCCGAAACACTGATCCCGGAGAAAGCGAAAGAGAACGAACCTGCATTCTGAGCGGCCTGGTTTCCCACGAATCCCACGAGGGAGAGAGAGAGAGAGAGAGAGAGAGGAGATAGATCGCATCGAGCGCACTCGTGCGATTCGTCGCTTTTGTCGTCGCGAGCTCGTTCATCGAAACGACTCTTCATTCGTTGACGCGCGCGCGCGCCTATAGAATGATATTCTCGTCGAGGACCGATTTCGACCGATTCGTTTCATTCTCCGTTCTTTCCCGCGAGAATCTAAGCAAAGGGAAAGCGCGATGAGATATAGGAAAGGGCAGAGAATGAGAGCGAGCAAGAGAGACTAACCAAGGATCGATCTTGTTGCAGGATCGCGAGATCATCGGAGAGTCAAGGGAATAAGGAAACTAGGAAAAGGAGAAAAGATGACCGAGACAATGTCCGAAGATTACGAGGTAGTCTCGAGGAGCGACGGGTCGTGCGAGGACGCGGAAACACAAGCGGACTTTGGAATGCCGGGTTGGGAAGCGGCGGTTGCTTCCTTCACTCTCGGATTCATCGTTCTAGCTACGGTTCTGGGCAATTCATTGGTAATCCTGAGCGTCTTCACCTATAGGCCCCTGAGAATAGTCCAAAACTTTTTCATCGTTTCACTTGCGGTAGCCGATTTGGCCTTGGCGATCCTTGTGATGCCATTCAACCTAGCTTACCTCCTTCTCGGTAAATGGATCTTTGGTATACACTTTTGCAAGCTCTGGCTGACATGCGACGTTCTCTGTTGCACCGCGAGCATACTCAATCTCTGCGCGATAGCTCTCGATCGTTATTGGGCCATTACCGATCCGATTAATTACGCGCAGAAGCGTACGCTGAAGAGAGTTCTTGGAACGATAGCCGGAGTTTGGCTTTTGTCCGGTGCCATAAGCTCCCCACCTTTGGCAGGATGGAACGATTGGCCGGAAGAACTCGAGGACGACACGCCGTGTCAGCTTACCAGAAGGCAGGGCTACGTGATTTATTCGGCCCTCGGCTCCTTTTTCATACCCCTATTCCTGATGAGCCTCGTTTATCTCGAGATATTTCTCGCTACGAGAAGGAGATTGCGCGAACGTGCTCGACAGAGCAGACTCGGTGCCGTTCAATCTACGAGACACCGGGAGACCGACGACGCCGAGTCCGTAAGTTCCGAGACGAATCACAACGAGAGATCGACGCCACGGACGCACGCAAAGCCCTCGCTGATCGACGACGAGCCGACCGAGGTGACGATCGGCGGTGGTGGCGGTGGTGCCACCGGCAGCGTCACCGGCAATTCTCGACGAATCGCATCTGCCAGCGGTGCTGGACAAACCCCACCTACCACCGCCACGGTCTACCAATTCATCGAGGAACGACAGAGAATTTCTCTCTCGAAGGAGAGACGCGCCGCGAGAACGCTCGGCGTCATCATGGGCGTCTTCGTGGTTTGCTGGCTACCCTTCTTCCTCATGTACGTCATCGTCCCATTCTGCCCGGCTTGCTGTCCCTCCATCAGGCTCGTTTACATCATCACGTGGCTGGGTTATCTCAACAGCGCTCTCAATCCTCTCATCTATACCATATTCAATCTCGACTACAGGCGAGCTTTCCGAAGGCTATTGCGCATTCGCTGATTGTGAGATCGAACTTTGATTCTCCTCTGTCCATTTCTCTTCTCCTCTCCTCTCCTCTCCTCTCCTCTCCTCTCCTCTCCTCTCCTCTCCTCTCCTCTTATCTTTCTATTTCCGTCTTCGCATCGAGGCTGATTCGACGACCATCGTTGATGCTCCTTCTTCTTCCTCCCGAAAATCGAAACCGAATTATACGAGCGGAAGAAGAGCACGTCTAGTGAAAAAAGAACACTCTCCTTTGATATAGAGTAACGCGTTTAAAAGCATTTCTCTTACCTTGAAACAAACTCAAGTACGTACACGGCAAATTATTCGGATACGTTCGAGCTCTCCGGTGCACGTTGCGAATAATTATGCGATCTCTTTACTCGTCCCACCGGACGATGCTTCCATTAATTTGCTCTGTTCGTTCGAAAAATGACGCGGTATTAATCAAATTCCTGCCGGAGAAATTTTTTAGAGAAAAGGGCTTGGGAATTGGGAAGATAGATGGGTAGATAGACAGGTAGGTAGATAGATAGATAGATAGATAGATAGAGAGAGAGAGAGAGAGAGAGAGAGAGAGAGAGAGAGAGAGAGAGAAAGAGAGAGAGAAGCCTGACCGACAAAGAGAAAACGACTTTGATCGGATCGAAGAAATACTTATCGTGAAATTAAGTATCGACGGGCAGGATATATTTGTCGACTTTGTTAATTAATCTCATCACGTTTCTTCTTATATATGTTCGTTAGTTCGAATTAAATCATTGTTTTTCCTGATATTAAAGCGATTCATTTTATATCGCGACATCTTTCGCGTTAAATCGTTAATTCGTTTTTGAGGCAAACTACGAAACTAGTTGTTTTATCTCTTCGTAACGTTCGAAATCAATCGAATAATCGGATCACGTCCGTTCCGATAATTTCTTTTTATTCTCTTATGAAAACTTAACATCGAAAATCCATCGACCATGATATCGGTCTAATGAAAGCATGCTGGGCTGGAAAAGGAACAGCCGTGCTTAAAATCACATTCTTGTCCATTCGTATTTACTCATATCCTTAATGATTTTCGATAATCTCAAATTATCTCAAATTTTCGTTAAGAGAAAATAACATAAACGAACGCGCATTTAATATGTATTTAATGCTTAATCAATTCGTCGTACCGTTCAATTTTTAAACTTAAGATTTAAAGTTTTAAAACGTAAGATTACGATTTATTTTCATGCATAGGAGCTTGAATGAAAACTTTGTTATTTTTCTCGATTGCTCGATAAGGATGGGCAATTAACGTGGACTGTCTTTTGGATTGAAAAGCAAAGAAAATAGTAGTAAAAATTTAATTAGTTAAAAAGTCTCTCTCTCTCTCTTTCTCTCTCTCTCTCTCTCTCTCTCTCTCTCTCTCTCTCTCTCTCTCTCTCTCTCTCTCTCATCGCAGGAACCGGCCAACTACCAAATTCGTTAAAACTCAATCGATGAAATTGCGACGGCGAACAATTTTCGTAGAAACGAGTAAACGAACATCGTCGAGGAGTTGAGCGGTATTTACCGCGAAACACTCGCTAGTTCGTAACTATTTCTCGTTGAAAATGCAAACAATTGCATATGCGTTTACGGAGGAGGGAAGAAACAATGCTTCGAGTTAACGAGTAATCGCGAAGAAAAAAAAAAATAAATAAAAATCGTATGGTCCGCTCGAGGAACGAAAAAATGTCTAAAATAAGGTATAGAAAAACATATGATTGCCGATTATATCGATTAAAGGAAAATTTGTTTGGCAATCAATGCGCGTAACGTTTATCTTAATGCACGGTTGTGTATTGATATACTTTAATAAACACGTGTACACTGGCTGTACACCGATTGTACACTGGCTGTACATTGGATTTTGCGTGAAACGAAGATTACTCGTGTGTTAGGTGTCTTATATGGCACGCTTACTTACGTTCGAGAAAAGTCATATAGGTATAATTGACGCGCATAATCGACGTTACGTAAAGTCGCACATTTCCCGGTACGGATACGTTCGGATAGAGTTTGCGATCACTCGACTTTTAGATGGTACCATCTAGGAGATGGAGAAGAGATTTTTATCCTAGAACGTAGGAACGAATAGAATCGTTCTCTTGGGGAATCTGAAGAAAATGGTTAGAAAGGATTCTTAAGGAAATCGATTTCGAGCAGAGATTTTCCAATATTACGATATCTCGTTGACTTTCGGTGCCTTCCTTCTTGAACGAAGTATTATCGAACGAAGAGGAAAAAGATCCCTTTTCCTTCGTGTGCGTTATCGTTTATGATTTTTTTTGTACCTTTCCTATGATAAGGAGAGAACGGGAGAAGGTGAGACAATTTGAATTAGCGGTTTATTAGTCAAATGGAACGTTAATTCCCTATTGGTGCTTAACTATTCGCTTTAAGCCGGCCGATCGATCATAATGAAGTATTAATGACTAAATGTGGGAGACATTTCGGAAGATCGGTCCAATTATTCAACGAATGGGATTCTCTGACACGGGGCCGAATTTCTCGAGACTAGTACGCGAGTCGAGTAGAATCGAATTGAGAGCAAGGGGAGGGAGGAAGGGAGTGAGCGAGCGAGCGAGCGAGCGAGCGAGCGAGAGAGAGAGAGAGAGAGAGGGCAGGTGGGGACAGGAACTTTCACAGTGGTTAATTAAAAATTTCATTGTCCCTGAGGTATCGTCCCTCGTCTCCCTTGAAACTTTTCTTCTACGGCAGAATCCGTCTTCTGCTATTCCCTCGGAAAGAAAAGGACTCATTGGGAGAATGTACGTATAAGCCATGAGATACGATGCGAGACAATAGACAGATCTTTCTTTATTTTTTCATTTATAATTTTCAAATGCGCCTATCGAAAGATGACGACTCGGCGATATAGGCGAGACCAGGTTTAATGGTTATTTAACGAAACGAAAAGAAATAAGAGAAAATGGATTTGAATTTTTTTTATAATTCGTCCTTAGCAAATTCTCCTATTCTGTTAAGAAACGTGATTATGTGATTCTAACGAATGAATCATATTTAACGGGTTTTGTAGTTGGACAAAGTATTAAATAAGATCAAAGCCCATGCTGGAAATAATTAGAAAAATTCTCCAACGTGTCGATTGTTCTGAGTCAATTCGGGAATCCTCGTCAATTCCCCTCTTGTAATTTTACCGTTGCTTCTTCGTCTTTCTCTTCCGACCATTAAATCCCCACCCATTTTCGCACGAATCGACCCTTTCAAATTCGTTTCTAATTAACGTTATGAGCGGAGTTTCGTAGCGCTGCTGTCGTCTCTTGTGCATCGTATTTAATCGAAATTCGAATTTTGAAAGGGAAAAAACCTTTTTCTACGCATGCGCACACTCCCCTTTACATAAACGATGAAAAATTATTTCTTTTTTTTTTATCTGTACTCTATCTCTTTAAAAGCTTTTTTCTTTTTACTCACAATCGATGTAGAAGAGTAAAAAATACTCTCATATTTGCTCTCATATTTATTCGAATTAAATTACTCTCTCTCTCTCTCTCTCTCTCTCTCGCTCTCTTTAATTTCCTCTTTTTTTCTTTGCCATCATTGAAAGTTGAGAATTATTAATCTACGCGTTGCGTTACGCTTGGCAATATTTACGACAAAAGTGTTCGGTCCAATTAAAGTCGGAATCGATTTCGACAAAGATCCTTTCTCCCCAGGAAAGAGATCATCTTTTTATCGTCAAAAGGAAAGGAGGAAGGGTCGATCGAGTACATCTCGCAAATAATTAGCAACGATAGGAAGAGTCTCGCGTATTTTAGATAAAACTGATAGAAGGTATATACATATACTTATCGTTCGTGAAACACGATTATGGTTGTGAGTATCGATAACGAACACTTACGTAAAAGTACCTAAGCGAAATAAAAGGAAAAACGAAGAAAAAGACACGTCATAGGAAATGACCAATGCTTAAACTCTAAGGAATAAAACAAAACAAAAAAGAAACACACACACACACATACATAATATACAAAGTACGCGAAAGATGAGGGTTGTGCTATAATACGTAACATATAAAGATTATTTACAAAAATTGTTTTTGGGCTCGTATACACGCATAAATACCTATGCGTAAATACGCAGCATAATGCGCAAATATACGTGTATAAACGCCATATAAAAGTGCGCTAACGATGTAAGAATCCATTCTCGTTCGGGTCTCGCGAGAAAAGAACTCGTCGAATCGTAAGTTACACCTAAACACAGAAACGGTGCATGCTGAATTTTTCAATTGTGAAAAATAACAGACTGTGTTACACTCATTTTAAGACTTATCGAAGATTCGACAAATTGATTATAATAGCTTATAGTCTTCTTCGATACATAGAACAATTGTTCGCACCGTCAGCCATAGAATAAAAAAGGAAAGAACAAAACAAGAGATTTAGAAAGTGAAACACTTTCGAATGGAGAAGCCATAAGTCATCCCTGTTTTTGGGATGTACGTACGTGTAGAGTACTTTTCTCTCGACTCGAGGACTCGTCGAGAATTTTACTCGATGCGAAAGCGGGAAACACGTAGAAAACGTACATAGGAACGTATCTTTTACCATGTTACCATAAAAAGATCGAATTATGAGGAAAACAGACGAGGATATTTGTAGGGACAAAAAATGAAGCAAAAAAAAAAAAAAAAAAAAAAAAAGAAAAAAAAAGAAGAGAGAGGGCTCGACGACGCTGGCCCTCCCTCACCTCTCCTTTTCCCTTCCAACTTGAACTTCCCCTCTCGAGTGCGGCTCTAACAAATTAAGCCACGACTTCGTCGCAAGGGCACTCTATAATAAGGTTGTGATAAGGTTGTGAGATATGTACGCTTCGTAGCCGCGCGCTACGGACGTCACAAGATTTTAAATTTAAGCTTACTTTAGTGAAGAAAACAGAAAAAAATTGAGAAAAAAGGAAGAAGAAAGAATAAGAGAAAAATATAGAGAGGCAGAGAGGGTGAGAAAGAGAGATTGAACGGATTTACCAAATATCGAGCTTGGCCACTGACGATGCAGCGAGGATCCTTTCGTTATGTCATTCGTTAAAATCACAAATATTTATGGTCCAAAACGAAAATTCCTTCTCGAAGAGAGTCTCCCTTGTATATCTAAAATTGGATTCTAATATTTCAACGAGACGTTCATTGAAATATTGTTGTTTAATGTTAACATAGAATTTCTTTGATTCTTTGGATCGTCTTTACGATTCGATTCGATTTCGAGTTTACTTTTCATCAAAATTACTTTTTCTTCCTTCAGATGGCATCAATTCTAACGTGAAATTTCAAAAGAGTAAGTAACTAGTTGCGTGTAATTTTCTTTTTCTTTTTCTTTTTTTTCCCATTTGGAAATCAAATCTCTCTCTCTCTCTCTCTCTCTCTCTCTCTCTCTCTCTCTCTTTCTCTCTCCTTTTTTTTTTCGTTTAGTTGAGAAAGAGGATTCCTGCAACATTCCGTTAATGAAATCAATTAGCATTATCAACTTACAGAGAGAACCTTTTGCTAATTAAATCTGATATCGACTATTGAACTTTGAACGAAAGAAGAACACGCAACTTCGACGTTAATCACGTTTGTCATCGAGAAATTACCAACTGGCATCTAACTTAGTTTCTCTTGTAGTTGGATAGTAGCTATTCTTCCTCTCTCTCTCTCTCTCTCTCTCTCTCTCTCTCTTTGAGAAGGTGTTTAAAATAGTGACCATTAACATTCGATCGACGATGAATCAAGTTTCTAATAATATAGATTTTCTTTAATTATAATCGCTTCTTCAAATACATGTGAAGCGGATTAAAAAAGTGAACGTATTTTCCTTGTTGCATGATAATATTTTATTCGTCAAAAAAGAGACAAAAACTGACGATTATAACAGTTGAACAAGGTTAAATGTAAAATTGAATTTAGAGTAAGGTCCTTTTTTCGTTAGTGGTCCCATTGAATGATGTATTATTTCGTTCACGTGCTTGTTAGCGGTTTCTCTGACGTATTCGTATGATCTATATTCATCTTTTATTTTCATTCTGTGCCCGATAACGAGAAAACCCGTTGCATGAACGATACATGTTTCATGAACGATACATGTTTCATGAACTGGGAAATTTTACCTCCCTCCCTCTTTCTCTTTCTCTCTCTCTCTCTCTCTCTCTCTCTCTCTCTCTCTTTGGGATGAGATTTTCGAAACGCATAAATGTATTATTTTACGCTATATGAATATACATATGTATATACGTGAGCATACGTGAAACATATTATATTTATATAGTATACAATACGTATGTTACATTATATCGTACCAAGTATTACAAACCATTCGGTCGATATTCATATTTATAT